TGAGATCCCAGTGGAAAGAATGGGTCATCAAAGAAGGAGGTACCTTTCTCTGAAGGGAGGAGAGAACTTTCACTTTGAAAGTTTGCTTGTCTAAATAAGATCAGAGTCAGTGAACTCAGGGGGCTTCCATAACCTTGGCAGCTCATGACAAGAGCCTAGGGTGATTACTGATGCCATAAACAAGAGTGTCAATTTGTTAAGTCAACAACAGGAGTCACTGTGCACTTACTCCTCATGTAGGATCTCTGTCCTTAGTGTGCTGTACATTGAGATTTAATGCTATAACTAGTACTCAAACAGTATTTTTCACTTTATGTTTCTGTGTGGGAGCAAACTGTTGAAATCTTTACTTAATTTATACTAAATTGATCTTCTGAATATAAAGAGAATTGAAAATGAATCTTGATGTGAATGGAAGGGGAGAGGGAGCAGGAAAGGGGAGGGTTGGGGGTGGGAGGGAAGTTATGGGGGGAAAGCCATTGTAATCCATATTCTGTACTTTGGAAATTTATATTCATTAAATAAAAGTAAAAAAAAAAAAACAATACATAGAATGATGGAACTGACCAGAGAGCTCAGAAATCAATCTGCATACATACAAGCCAACTGATTTTTGACAAAATTGCTCAGACCAAACAGTGGAAGTAGGGATAGTCTCTTGAACAAATGGTGCAAGCAAAACTGGATTTATATGTGTAGAAGAATGAAATTAGATCCATACCTATCACCGTATTCAAAAATAAACTCAAGCTGGATAAAAGACTTAAATTTTAGACCTGAGACTATGAAGTTGCTGGAAGAACACATAGCAAAATCACTCCAAGACACTGCTGTAGGGGATGGCTTATTGGATAAGATCCCCAAGCACAGCCAACAAAAGCAGAACTAAATAAATGGGGCTATATCAGACTCAGCAGCTTTTGCACAGCAAAGAAAATAATCAGTAGAGTGAAGAGACATCCAAAAGAATGGGGAAATATTTGCAAATCACTTTTCTGACAAAGGATTAATATTCCAGATGTATCAGTAACTTTAAAAACTCAACAATAATAAATAATCCAGTTGAGAAATGGGCAAAGGACTTTAATAGACAGTTCTCAAAAGAAGAAATACAAATGGCCAACAAATATGTGAAAACAGGCTCAGCATCCCAAGCCATCAGGGAAATGCAAATCAAAACCACAATGAGCTATCACCTCACCCCTGTCAAAATGGCTAAAATCCAAAACAGAGAGCAACGAGTACTGGTGAGGATGTAGAGAAAGGAGAACACTATTTTTGGAAATATAAATTACTGAAGCCACTGTGGAAAATAGTGTGGAGATATCTGAAAAAAAAAAAACAAACTAGAACTAGATTTGCCATATGATCCAACAATCCCACATTGGGTATATCTCAAAGACTTGAATACTATTAAGAGATACCTTCATAATTATGTTCATAGAAGCTCTTCACAAGAGCCAACATTGGGAATCAATGAAGGTGTCCACCATCAGAAAAATGGATAAAGAAAATGTGGTAGATATACACAATGGGATATTATTTAGGTATAAAGAAGAGAAGGAAATTCTACCACTTGAAGCCAAATGGATGCCACTGGAGGACATCAGGATGACTGAAATAAACCAGACCTAGAAAAACAAATACTGCATGCTCTCCTTTATTTGTAGGAGCTAAAATTAAAAATAAAATAGAAGAAAAAAGAAATGTCTATGTGTATTAGCATTACTGAAAAGACTGTTTGGTAAACTTTTGTTATATATCTTTGTGAATCCAGTGGTTAAATGTGTTATATTACTCTAGTTTCAATGATCTGTGACTACTTCAGAATTTATTGTACATTATTTTTATACCATTGTCTATTTTTCCCACTAAACTAGGGTCTTTTGATTTTGCTTGTTAAACTTCTTATTCTGGGAAGTGTTAAGCCTTCGTACTGCAATGTAAATTTGAAATGTTATCTCAAAAACTAAAAATAAGGGGGGGAGGAAAAAGTTTGGGAGGGAGAGATGGGGAGAGTGTAAAGGTGGAGGGGAATGTTATTAGGTCCTTAGGACTACATGTACAAAGTAAAATGAGTCTGTTAAAAACTAATTAAAAGTTAAAATAAAAAAAACACTTAAAATTTTTAGAAATTTTAATGCAATCAATAAACCCCAGGATTGGGGGGAAAATGAATACATGGATGCACAAATGGGCATTGTGGTGTGACAGGATGACATCAGAGTATCTAGGGATCAGCTTTCATCCATTATTCAAATCCAGCTTCTTATTGGTGTGCCTGGATGGCAGCAGATTGTGGCAATGATGCCTGGGTTTATGCTACACTTGTTAGAGACCCAGTTGGAGTTCCAGGCTCCTGATTCAGCCTGGTCCATCCTGGCAGTTGTCAACATTCAGGGAGTGAATCACTGGATGGAAGATTTCTTGCTCTCCCTGTTGCGCTATCATTCACATATATAGATGCATGGATGGATGGATGGATGGATGGCTAACTGAATGTTAAAGTAATGGGTACTTGTAGAAGTGGCCTCCCTTTACAAAAATTCTCCTCCAGGTTTTCTTTCATTCTTTACTGCTTTACACCAGATATGACAGCTGAGGACAACTGCCTTTGATATACAAGCTCATAGTGTAAAACCAAATATCCAGAGTATAGGGAGGGATCTTCCCTTCAAAGAGCAATTAGTCAAAGGGCCTTGAGTGTTGAATACTGTTTTCATCCTTACTGGTAGGAGGTTGTTGTGGTTCAGCTCATACCCACAAGTGAAAACTTTCAAATATTAGATGACCTTTTACAAGACACTTTCATGGCAGGTATTTGGTGCAGAGCTTAACATGCTGCTTGGGTCACCTGAGTCCAGTGTCAGATGACCAATTTATGTGCAGGCTGCTGCAATTCCAATGAACTCAGAAAGGGAAAGGGAGTGCCACTTGCTACCTAAAAGTCAACAATTCCAACAAGAAAATTACTAAAAAGATCAATATGAAACCAAAATTGAAATGTGTTTTTCTCCCTTGAGTTTGCAGTCTTTCTGAAAATTCTTTTTAAATAACACTTGAAAGATGGAGAAGAGTTGGAGGGATATTTCAGAAAGTGAACTCCATAGCAGTAACAAAGCACATCAAATACAGAAACAAATGTACTCACTCAGTAATGATGTACTGACAGGCTATGGCTAAATTATACTTGAGATTGCTGCTCAGAAAATAATGCAGCATTGTCTTTTAGAGATTAATTTCATAGCTATGAACACTGCACATATGCACACCTCTCTATAGTTTTTCAGTGATTATTGGTATGTTGAAATTATAGTTTTGACATCCTGCTGTATTTGAGGGAGAACTCAAATCTTTTATAAATCAGTATGTGGGACTGGCACTGTGGCACAGCAAGTTAAGCTGCTGCCTGCAGCTCTGGCATCCCATATGGGTGTGAGTTCAAGTCCTGACTGCTCTGCTTCCATGCAGTCTATCTCCCTGCTCATGCACTTGGGAAAGCAGTGGAAGATGGTCCAAGTGTTTGTAAGCTGTCAGCCATGTCGGAAACCTGGAAGAAGCTCCTGGCTCCCGGCCTCAGCTTGGCCAAACCCCAGCCATTGTGGTCATTCAAAGAGTGAACCAGTGAATGGAAGACTGATTTGTATCTCTGCCTCTCTTCTCTCTCTATAATTCTGTCCATCACATAAATATTTTAAGAAGTAGGAAATATGTACTGAGTTTAAACAAAATAAAAAGTTAGTTTGCCCATTTAAACTGTTGTAGTTCAAGATAGAATTATAACTATTTTAACATACAGAGGAAATTATACTTGCCAGTTTATAAATTACATTGTTTTTATAATTTTGCAAATATTTTTACAGTTTTACAAGTATTAAATACATGTATTTTGTTGCAGAGAAAAGAATTTGGAAGCAGTTTCTTGACAAGCAGATAAGTTTTACCCTATAAAAACTGGTCTCAATATTTTATATTTCAATGGTCAACAAAGATTTCTATATGCAAAATATCCAATCAGTGGATAATTTTCAGGCTAATTTTCATTCTTGTTATTTTATAATAATGTATTTGTATAACAAATAATAAAATTATAGAATCACTTATACACAGGCCAAAACATGCTCGGATTAAATTAGAATTCCAGTTTGGAATGAAAATTTAGCAAAAAACATACATGTAGCCATTTATTATCACTGTAAGTGTGTTAAGTGGCAAGGTTAAACTTCATATAATGGTGAGATTCAAAAAATGCTCAATGTTAGGAACATGGAGAAACCTTGCTTTAACAACAGTCATAGTGAAATCATAGGTGAAGGCATTATGTGATGGTGCACAAAACTTAAAAGTGTCTTGGACCACAAGTGAAAATCAAGTTAAAGATATATTAGCAGATCTCAAAGTATATCTTTAATTACTAGGTAAAAATATTCAATTATCAAAACCTAACTTAAAGCAGTTTTGAAATGTTTGCAAATATGTCAGTTTAGTTGTATTTGTTAAGTTTATTAAATAGTTGCAAAATATTGAGGATGGCTCTGTGGCATAGTGGACTAAGCCTCTGCCTGCAGTGTTGAAATCCCATACAGGTGCTGGTTCTTGTCCCCATTGCCCCTCTTCTGAGCCAGCTCACTGCTATTGCCTGGGAAAGCAGTGGAAGATGGTCAAGGTACTTGGACCCCTGCACCTGCATGGGAGACTTGGAGAAAGCCACTGGTTTCTGACTTCAGATTGGCTAGGCTCCAGCTTTTGCACCCATTTGGGGAGTGAATCGCAAATGGAAGATCTCTCTGTCTCTCCCTCTGTCTGTATCTCTGCTTCTCAAATAAATAAATATATATTTAAAAATTAGCTGCAACATGCGTTTCATGTCTACATTAATGAGGATAATTACAACCATTACTAGCATACATATGTCAATCAAACTAAGTACTTCAACAAACTAAAAATAAGAAGTATATGAACAACCTGAAACCCAAGGGGAAAGAGGCAATATATCTAACCGTGTCCAAAGACTCTGCAGTGTTGTGATGTGAAGCCTGAGTTGCTGAAGTAGGAGTCTCCAAGTTTTGTTGTGGAGTAAGATCTCTGCTGAGCCAGAAACTATTAGCACGACTTCCAACGCTATGTGACGCTACTGAAGTTTGCGTAGAAACAGTCTGCGTAGAAACAGACTTGGTTAATGTTCCAGTCTGTTGTTTCTCCAGGAGAAAATTTTTAGTTCTGACCTCTGCTAACACTTCATTAGCTCTGCGAAGATTGAAAGAACCAATGTTTAGTATTTCATTTTCCCCTTAATAATTCTTACATGAATTTCATTTTTTAAAAGAAAGAGTCAATGGGCATGCACAATAAACAGTGTTTTAATACTGAAAATGTGTCAGAGCACAGTTTCTGTATAATTAAGGCCTTTTAATTTTTAAAGTTGAAAATTTCACAACGTGACTCAAACCCAGTACAAGGGAGAAGGATGCCTGTCAATGCTGTATGACTGATCCGGTGACATCTGCTTCCTCCCAAAAGGCTCTATTCTCAAAAATCCTTGCGCATGCCATTAGAAATATTTTATTTAAATAACAATTCTGATATAATGGATGTTGATTTCTTCGATGCTAGTAAACATTTTCTAATATATAAATATTTCAAAACATCATGTTTTGCCACTTAAATATATGAAACAGTAACTTTTTAAAAAGGATAGAAAACTAAGTTAGAGATTTAGAATACCACCAAAGACATTTTCAGGTGCTTACTTTCGACAGCCCTGCTTTTTTCACCCACTTTTTGGGAGAAATTAAGCAAATGCTTGATTTTTGGCATTGAGAGATAACTCAGAACAACAATGACTGTGGGGAATGAGATAGCCAAGTAAGTATTCAGCAACAACTAAAGCAGCTAGGAAGACATCAAAGGTGGGACTTGCTCTTTCTTTCTTCCAGACACTATACTTTCCTTCCTCTCTTTCTTAATCTTTCTCAAGGCGTCCTTTGGTAGTAATACCAATGATCACAATAAAGGAAAGGTAACTAGACAAGTGCCATATTGTACCAACAGGTGGAGGAGGGGGAGGAAGAGATGCTAGACACTTAAGTTGTAATCTTGAACTTAAGTTAACAGAGTTGTTAACATTTACATAAATTGTTCTGCACTACAAATTTACTGGTAATTTCATTTACCAACATTATTTTCCAAAATCACTTTGTCTAGGTAGATTATATCCTTACTAATCTCAGGAATCTCTTTCACTAAGAATTATGCTTTAGTGGCAAATTAGCGAATGTAAGCTATTGTCTGCAATTCTATGTTTTGACTTACTCATTCACTTGCTTTGAAAAAGCTTCTACACCCTGAATGATCTCATCTTGTTTGCTTATCAAAGCTTCAAATCCCTCTAGAAGGAGTTGCTTATATTCCTCCAATTCTTTAGAAATGGCTTCCTGAGGAGCTTTCATTTTGGAGAGTGTAGATATCCCAACATGGATTCTCTGTTCTTTTTGTATACTTTTTGAAATGTCATCACTCTCCATTAGATACTCGGAACTTTTTTGAGATGATGCTTTTTTCTAAAGCAAAATAAAAAGGTAATTTAAAAAAATCATTAAAATATATATTAATGTTTTTATTTATTTCTTTTAGTTTTGAATCAGTGATTCTCAGAGAAATTTTAAAGTAAAAAACAAGCCAAAGTTTAAAATATTTATCTTCAATACACATTGAATGAAATTTGAATTATAATGAAAACAATACCATTATTACATTACTACTCATGTAAATTAGTTATCAAAGAATATAAGCATTGATTAAAAGTGAATAGCAATTAAAGCAACTAAAACTACACTATAATTCCTAAATTCCATTTTTCCCCTTGAGGTTAATGAGAAATCACAATTCAGAGGATAAAAGTTTATGATGTGATTTGTATACTTTTGTGAATGAAAATGTTTCAGTCAATGAAACTGACTTGTCATCATTTGATGTTTTCCACAAAATAAGGGCACATATTAAACAATAGCAAGAAAAAAGCTTGATGGAGTTTCCCTGGTACTGAGAGGAGAAGGAATCATTTCCCTCAAATAAAACCATTAACTGATACTTAAAAGTAGTACATTTAGAGCATGTCTACAAACCCTTTGACAATTTTTCCATGAAATTTTCTCTCCTGAATGTGAGCTGGACAAGGCACTGTGTATCTAGTGAACAGAATAGGGCACACATGCTGAGTGACTTTTGCTAGGCTGTAAAATGTGATGCTGCTTCCACCTGAATCTCTCAAGCAAACTCGGACTTAGAAATTAGCCACCCAAAGACGAGAAAGTGAAACAACATATTGATATTCCAACTGATGTCCCAGGTAAGGTCCAAAAAAAGCAACTATCAACACCAAACAAAGCTGGCATTGTGTACAGTATATTGAGCTGCTGGCTGTGATGCTGGAATTCCATACTGGAGCACTGGTTCAACTCCTTGGTGTTCTGCTTCTGGTTCAGCTCCCTACAAATGTGCCTGAGAGGGCAACAGAAGGTGGTGCCCCAGATACACTACATGGTGACACTAGATACAGGGAGTTGTAACTTTAGGAAATTGAAACAAAGACTACAATAGGTTAAATGTCTTCAGACCAGAGGGAGGTGGAAGCTGAAAGGGCCTACAAAAGAGGAGGAATGAAAACCAAAAGGACATCAAAGAGACTGTGTGGAAACTTGAGGTTCTGAAGGAACTGTCAAGAAAGGATACCAAGACCTGGAAGACAAGGGCCCCATTCTTCAGGAATCTGAAGGTAAAACTGATGTGAGAGAGAAACTAAAGAAAGACTACCAAATTTAAAGGAGCTATGACTTATTGGGTTCAAGTATCTAAATCCATATATGTGAATTACAGCATCTCCACATAACAAATCACCATGCAATTGTTAAAAAAAATAAAATAAAATAAAAGGTGGTTTCTGGAATAAAATCAAATCCAGAGGGCTGCTAGGCAAACAGGATCCAGAGATGAAGCAAAGATGATGACTGTACAATGGACAATAAAACTTCAGAAAAACTTTAGGTGGTGCCTCAAATCACCGTATGGGTCTTAGGAGTTAAAGAACATTCACGATACTGTCCTATTCTGGCTCTTCTGGAAGCCCAAGGTGAAGAGATTATGTCAAAAAGATTCGTGGGAGTGGGCATCAGAGTGCTTTTGTTTTTTACTTGCCTATTTCTCCTGAGTCTACCATTCTGCCAATGTAGACACTGGAAGGAAGCAGGGATGGCTCAAGTAATTGGGTTCCTATAAATCACATGGGACCCCTGGCTTGAGTTCCCAGCTCTTAGCTTTGGCCTCACATGAGATCTGGTTATTTTAGGAGTAAACCAGTGAATGGGAATGTTTTGTGTGCTCTTTATCTTGCTTTCACTCACACACTCTCTCTCCCCTAACTTCTTCTTTGTCTCAGGTAAAATCAAATTTTCAAAAGGCAGTATTTCTGAATATTTATTGTCTAATAGGATGAACTCCAATAAAATCACAGGAGGCTCCATTTTTCCAGAGGGTTGTATTAGAAAATCCAGTAGTTTCTAGTTTGCAATAAAAATAGAGAGAGGTAAGAATTAAAGGACTCCTCTGACCTTGGAAGTTTGTTTTCTCTTTTTTTTGACAGGCAGAGTGAACAGTGAGAGAGAGAGACAGAGAGAAAGGTCTTCCTTTACCGTTGGTTCACCATCCAATGGCCGCTGCGGCTGGTGCACTGCGGCCGGCGCACCATGCTGATCCGAAGGCAGGAGCCAGGTGCTTCTCCTCGTCTCCCATGGGGTGCAGGGCCCAAGCACTTGGGCCTTCCTCCACTGCACTCCTGGACCACAGCAGAGAGCTGGCCTGGAAGAGGTCATACATTTTTATGTATCAAATATAATATACATATATATATACATATATATACATGCAATAGGTACATATATATATTTAAAACAGTTAAATGCATACAGTATATACAGTATATATACTGTATATATACACTATATACTGGAGGGATACACAAAGAAAATTAGCACATCTCATGAAATATTTTATAGCTAAAAAATATAAATTTTAATTTTATGAAAGAATGATGCTGATATATTTTAAATATTTGAATATTTGGATGTTTAAGAGAAGATCGTTACCAAAAATGGAAACATTATCAAAGACAGCAAATGCATCTCCAGAAAAAGAAGCTGAAGATACATTAAGAAGAATTCAGTTGACATTATGTGCCAGGGCATTGTTATTACTGTTTATGAAATCATGAAACAGAAAATGTTATATTTTGGGATTCAAAAAATATAAAAGGTTCCAGATGGTTCTGCGAGTTTCAGAAGTAAACTTTTGCAGGGTACAGTTCAATTATGAAAACATAAGAAAATGTGTATTTAGGCTTTAATGTAGTCAAACTATAGATAAGTTAATTAAAGGATAATTGATATAACCTGAAATACTAAAATCTTACTGAGTTATCTTGTCTCCTAAATCACCATTTTTCTTCATCTCTTCATCCAGTTTGTCCTGCAGAGCTTGATTTAACTCAGCAAGCAGCATTATGTGTTGCTGTTCATCTTTAGACTTAAGAAAATGTGAAAATTATTTTTTAAAATATAGGCTTCTTTCTAAAAGTATTATTCCCCGTGAGTTAATGAGTAATATTCTATAAAATCTGATGATAATCAGATTTCAAAAATAATGACTTCCCAAAAAAGAGTTCAGGTTGACTTACACTTTCAACACTATCTTTTGTGGATTTCAAATTATCAAAATTCATTCATTAAAGATAGAGGTACGGTGGCTATGATGCTACTAGAGATTTCTGCAACCCAAATCAGAATGTCTGCATGGAGTTTGGCCAACTTGGATTCTAATCTAGCTTCCTGCTAATGAACACTCAGTGAAACAGCAAATGATGTCTCAAGTACTTGGATCCTGCACCTACATGGTAGAACTGGATTGAATTCTGGGCTCCAGCTCTAGGCTACTGTAGGTATTTCAGTAGTGGACCCATAAATGAAAGATCTCTTTCTCACCCCCTCTCTCATCCTCACCTTGTCCCTCTCTTTCTGTCTTTCTAGTAAAAATGAAAAACAAATACAGAGTTTAAAAAACCCAAATACTGTTAATGAATTATTTTTAACAGCAACTTTTTATTTTTTAAAAATTTTTTAAAGATTATTTTATTTATTTAATTGATAGGTAGAGTTACAGACAGTGAGAGGGAGAGACAAGAGAGAAAGGCCTTCCATTGGTTCACTCCCCAGATGGACACAATGACCAGAGCTGTGCCAATCCAAAGCCAGGAGCCAGGTGCTTCTTCCAGGTCTCCCATGCGCATGCAGAGGCAGAAGCACGTGGGCCATCTTCTGCTGCTTTCCCAGGCTATAGCAGAGAGCTGGATTGGAAGAGGGGCAGCCAGGACTAGAACCAGCACCCATATGGGATGCCAGTGCCGCACGCAGAGGATTAATTACTGTGCAATGTAGCTGGCCCGTAAACAGCTATTTTTGAAAGAGTGGTTACATTTTACATTCTAAAGATTCCCTAGAAACTTTTGTCCAAAAACTTGAATATTCAAGATATTCCAGGTTTAATTAAATCATATGCTACTAATAGGATTTTTGGAAAAATTCACATTTGATTCTTACTACATATTTCATCTTCACCTGATTTCAGGATGAGATAAACAAGATCATTTTTTAACCGTGTTTAGAAGCTTCTTTTTTTTCCTTTGACATTAATGACTTAACTTTAAACAAAGTTTACCTTTTCTATAAAATACAAGTATTTACCATAGTTTGATTCTTGCGTTTTTTTTTCTGTACTGTCCTATGTGAATGCATGGCCTGATACACAGATAATTGTGGGGTCACATAGATGACTGTGCAACTCCCTGGCCCTAAATATGTTTTCCAAGGGTATAATTCAATGCAATATTTTTGAGACATATCCAGGATGCTTTGTTTAGTGCTTCCACTGCTTTCATCCACAGCAGCAGTAGCAATTAGTGATTAGACCTTTCTCTTGGCTCCCATAAGCCCACTTCACTTCTAAATGCAGTGACTGCTGGATTCTACTCAACCACTCTTTGTATTCCATTTCTAAGTCTGTCTCAAAAGCTCCTTAAGTCTCAATGCTTCACCTGAAGTTGCTTAATCTATACTCCTAGGCCTCACTTCATCGCTCAGGCCATTTCTTACTTCTCTTTCATTTCTCATAGGTTAAATCTTCAACTACACCCACACAAACCGTTACCTGATGGGGATTACCTTTGCAGACAACTAGTCTAGTACATTTGCTAATGATTCTAAAGGGTGTGTCTTTGATCCTAGCATTGTTTTCTAATATTGATACTAGATATGTTAGGATGTTGACCAGCATACTTCATGTTGAAATTCTTTTCTAATGCAAGACTTTTTACAGGCATCATATTATGGGTCACTTCCATTTTCGTTGGAATCCCCTCTGCCATAGATACAACTTTAGCAGTCTGTTGAGGTTCTCTTCAGACATAAACCTAACTATATTACTTGGAGGCCTGAGTCAGATATCTCTATTTCCCAATCCAATTCTTCTCTTCCAAGTTGTGTCCATAAAATATATCAACCCAAGTACTCTCTGGTAGATGAGAACCTCCATTTGTGAGATGAGAACCTTCTGGAAAATTAGTTACTATTGAGTTGGTCAAATGCCATCGATTATTATACTTTTGACAGAGGGTACCCTTGAAAGTGACTAATAATTCTATGCCATATTCCTAAGTCATTGCTACAAGAATTTACAGAAAATACCTCAAGAATTATGAACAAGCTTAAGAGCCATTGCACACTGATATGAACTGAATAAAGTAAGCCTGTGTAAAGGTTGATGAGCACAGTAGGGGAAAAGCTTGTTTTTATACATGCAGTCGTGGTAGCACTATGTCACTCTGCAAAACCATGTCATAGTAGTCATTTTTATCTTTTCTCTTACAACTATTTCCTTTTAAAAATCCAGAGAAGGCCGGCGCCGCGGCTCACTAGGCTAATACTCCGCCTTGCGGAGCCGGCACACCGGGTTCTAGTCCCGGTCGGGGCACCAGATTCTGTCCCGCTTGCCCCTCTTCCAGGCCAGCTCTCTGCTGTGGCCTGGGAGTGCAGTGGAGGATGGCCCAAGTACTTAGGCCCTGCACCCCATGGGAGATAGGAGAAGAACCTGGCTCCTGCCATTGGATCAGCATGGTGCGCTGGCCGCAGCGCGCTGGCCGCGGCGGCCATTGGAGGGTGAACCAACGGCAAAGGAAGACCTTTCTCTATGTCTCTCTCTCACTGTCCACTCTATCAAAAAATAAAAAACAAAAATCCAGAGGAAGTATATTCCATGGTGAAAATAATGCTTCCACAATAATTTAGTATCCATTCTTGATGAGGAATTAAATTTATAGTCTCAAAATAACTCATTCTCAAGGGCTCACTGAAGAGTTAGGATTACAGTTGGAATTCAGAATCATACATGTATCATTACTCAACTTTCATGGCAGTGTAAAAGACGTTAACAATATAAGCAAGGACACCAAAAGATAGCCACACACCAGTTTTCAGATAACATATATTTGGAGTACCCAAAAGGATAGATATAACTAGAATATCTATCAATGGATAAAGAGATATACAAAATGTACTATGAATACAGTACTGACTTTACATTGCATTTTCTAATACTTATATGAAAAATATATGCCAAAGTCTCACAAATACATTTTAATACAGCATAAAGTATTTATCTTAATGTCTTCTAAACTATCTTCAATATATACAAGGAAAAGTGACATGCACATCAGATATTTTCCTCTGAGTTACATTTCTATTTAGAGAAGATTATCTCCTATGAAAAAAACAAAATGCTATGTAAAACTAAGGGTTACATTGCTATGTACAAAGTAGCTGACAAGTACTGGAAACAGTTATGCCTGTAAGAGATAAAAATGTCACAGAATTAAAAGCTTACTGAAAAAAAGGGAAATTTGGGCCTCGATCTGCATAAACAAGGTTAGATGAACAGAAACTAAAAGGAAGAGTGGACAGCACAAAGAAAAGTGGAGAGATGGCAAACAGGTACAGTTAAGCCAGAGATGGATAGAATCCAATGGCAAGGAGGAAAACACTAATTCTCACAAAATTACTCGCAAACGAATGCTCAAAGCAGCATTAATAATAGTCAAAAAGTAGAAACCACCTAAATGTTAATCCACTGATGAACTGGGTAATTTATACAACAGAATAGTATTGCACTATATAATACAAGAATATTTGACAATAAAAAAGTACTAACACAAGCTACAACATGGCGAACCCAGAAAATACCTAAATACAAGAAGCCAGTCATAAAGAACTACATACTGTAGGACCCTATTTATATGAAATGTCTCCTTGGAGACCTGAGAAAAATTTGATTGCCCAGGACTAGGGAAGATAGAGGAGTTGATTGGCGATGGGTAACTGGTATAAGGTTTCTTTCTAGGTTGCTAAGCATGTGCTAAAGTTGATAGTTGTGATGGTCATATAACTCTGGGAAATATCCTAAGGGTCAGTGAATTTTATTAAATTAAATGGATGAACTTATTTAAAATATATGAGGTTACATTAAAAGGTTTGTGGAAATAATGGACTTAACAGATAAGTTCATTTTCATGCAACTTTTTTAAACCAATGCATATTTTTCATAGTGTACATTTAGGAAGCTCCCTTGTATCTCAACACATTGATTTTAAAAAGTATAGTGGCAAGATCTAGACAATTCTCTAGTTCAGATGTATTTACATCTGTATATGAATACATGAATAGCCTAACATGTATGACAAATTTTTCCAATAGATTGTAAATTAATCAAAACATATGAATTTTGTCTAAGAGTATAATGGAGTTTCTATAGAATTTGTTCTATAGAATTTATTCTGAAATATATGAAATAAAGATACACAGGCTAGGTATACATTCAAAAAATAGAAAATTTTTGGAGCATTTCATTACATTTTATTCTGTGATTTAATAGGTTTTGTTTCCACATAGCCATAGGAATATAATATTACAATATTGTTAACACAACAAAATGTCTCTCAACTTCCATGAGAAATGCTATGTAATCCTCAATTTTCCTAGGGGCATTATTTTAAAAAGAGTGAAATTACAAGAAGGGCCAAGTGAATGTCAGAAATTTAAGAAATAAATTCACTGTAATGACAAAAGTGTACTGCAATGATACAGAAAATTTTAAAAAGCTGTATTTATTGAAATTCACATATAAAAAGTTACATTCTTTATCCAGCTACAGAATTTTTCTTCCACATGTTGAATATCTTATGGGCTTATCTTTGATTTTACTTCATTTGTTCTTACATCCTTTGTCTCATCTTTTTACAGAGGGTAATAATGAACTATGAGCTCCAGTAATATCTCTGATATTATCCTTGAGGGTGTCAGCCAGTTGCTACTGAAAATGTTTCACCTCTACCTAATAAGATATTTTTGTCACTACTTTATAATTTTATTGTTAAATCATAGTTGGAACATTTAATTCCAAGGTACACTCAGCCTATAACAGACTTGTGATAGTCTGACTTCTGATTTTTCATGTTTATGACTGTGCACAAGTGATACACATTCTCTAGGACACACACTCTGAATTTGGAGCATTTCCCAAGTTGGGGATATGCAGACACTGCTCTCCCATGACACTGAACAGCAGCAGTTAAACAGCTCCCAGTCAACCACAATCACAAGCGAGGATGTTGGCAAGACTAGGTGTAGTAAGTGCATTTTTCACTGAGGATATTTTCAATTTAACAATGAGTTTATTAGGGTGTAATCTGTACTTTGAAAAATATCACCACATGTTTCAATTCATCTCCTTCAGTTCATGTATACATTCCTGTTGAATGTAATATGGGGAATGAAGCAACAGAAGGAAGATCTTTGTCTCTCCTTCTCACTGTCTGTAACTCTACCTCTCAAATAAATAAATTAAAAAAATAAAAATTATTTGACAATAAATAGAAAGAAGTTCTGATACATGCCACAACATGAATCAACTGTGAAATTATTATGCTACCTGCTAGAAGCCAGTTACCAAGAAAAATATACTGTAGCACCCTATCTATAAGAACTGTCAAGAACAGGTAAATCTGTAGAGACCTGAAGAAAGTGATTGCCTAGGACTAGAGAAGACAGAGGGACTGAAGTGGTTATTGATAACTTATACAAGGCTTATTTTGATGGTGAAAAATATGCCTAAGTTTACAGTGGTAATGGTCATACAATGCTGGGAATACAGTATCGGACATTGAATTTTATTAGTTTAAACATGTGAAATTTATTGTATGTGAAATATTTGAGGGTGCTGTAATAACTGTATGAGAAAATGAGTTTAAGAGAGAAGTTATTTTGGTGTAAAACTTTTTAAACCAATGTGTTTTTAAAATAAATGCACCTAAAATGCAGAACAAAAAAGTGAGAGGGAAAACAGATCTTCCATCTGCTCGTTCACTCCCAACATGGTTGTGACGGGCAGGGCTGGACCAGATTGAACCCAGGAGTCACAAACTCCATCCAGGTCTCCCAAATGGGTAGCACTGGAGCCATCATCTGCTGCCTTCCTAGGTAGATTAGAGGGAAGCTGAGGCCAGCGCCACGGCTCATTAGGCTAATCCTCCGCCTTGCAGCGCCAGCACACCGGGTTCTAGTCCCAGTCGGGGCGCCAGATTCCGTCCTGGTTGCTCCTCTTCCAGGCCAGCTCTTTGCTGTGGCCAGGGAGTGCAGTGGAGGATGGCCCAAGTGCTTGGGCCCTGCATCTGCATGGGAGACCAGGAGAAGCACCTGGCTCCTGGCTTCGGATCAGTGCGGTGCACCGGCCACAGCACACTGGCCGCGGCGGCCATTGGAGGGTGAACCAACGGCAAAGGAAGACCTTTCTCTCTGTCTCTCTCTCTCACTGTCCACTCTGCCTGTCAAAAAAAAAAAAAAAAAAAAAAAGAAGGAAGCTGAGCAAATGGGCACTCCAACATGGGATGCTGGAGTGACTAGCCATGGCTTAACCTGTTGCATCATAATGCTGGCCCAACATTTTTTTCAGAGTATACATTAGACTTGAATGTTAGTAAGCCCCTTTCTATCTCGATAAATTGATGCACTCCAGTGTCATCATCCAGATAATTTTAATTCTCATGAGTGTACACCACAGTTGATTTGAATAGGTCTATCCTTTTGTTATATGAAGAAGTTAAAGGAAAATGAAGCAAGTGTCTATATTTGAGATAGATCTTTTTTTTTTTTTTTTTTTTTTTTTTTTTTTTTTTTTTTTGACAGGCAGAGTGGACAGTGAGAGAGAGAGACAGAGAGAAAGGTCTTCCTTTGCCGTTGGTTCACCCTCCAATGGCCGCCGCTGCAGCCGGCGCACCGCGCTGATCCTGGCAGGAGCCAGGAGCCAGGTGCTTTTCCTGGTCTCCCATGGGGTGCAGGGCCCAAGCACCTGGGCCATCCTCCACTGCACTCCCTGGCCATAGCAGAGAGCTGGCCTGGAAGAGGGGCAACCGGGACAGAATCCGGCGCCCCAACCGGGACTAGAACCCGGTGTGCCGGCGCCGCAAGGTGGAGGATTAGCCTATTGAGCCACGGCGCCGGCTCTTGAGATAGATCTTATAGTAGCTGAAAATATTTTGGAGCAGAGTATAATGGCCTTTCTGTACAAGTTATTAAATCTATGAAATAAATACACATAAGCTCTGTATCCATTCACAAGAGTGAAAATAAGCAATGAAAAGTCTCTGCAGCATTTCCTTAAACACTCTCGAGACTCTTATTAAACCTGGCTTTCTTCACCATGACAGTAAGAAGTATCACTATAAATACTGTTTCAAAGGAAATAAAATATGCCAGCTCAAGAGGAATAATGCATAATTTTCAAGTTCTTAAGGGCAAATAATATTTTAAATTTTTAAATTTAACTTTAAGGGAAATAGCAAAGTGAGAGTTTAAATGCATTATTAAAATAGAATCGTACTAAATTAATTAAAATGAACATAGAAAATGTTATGTTTTGTGAAACTGTATCCAAAAACTTACAATATATAATCAACTTTAGTATTTCTATTGACACATTAAATTTCAACATACTTGTCTCCTGAGGTCACTTAATTCCTTCTTCAAATTCTGGATTTCAATTTTTGAATTCATGCAACAACATCCTGCATCATCTGGTGAAACCTAGGATACAAATTTTTTTAACATTTTTTATTTGAAAGACTTAAAATCTTTAAAAGACTTATTTAAAAGACTTAGAGAGACAGAGAGGTCTTCTATCTCCTGATATACTCCTGATACACAGGAGTCACTGTGCACTTACTTATGTAGCATCCCTGTCTTTAATGTGTTATACTATGAGAATTAACGGTAAAAATATTCTTCAAACAGTTCTTTATGCTTTGTGCTTCTGTGTGGGTGAATCTGTTGAAATCTTTACTTATACTAAGTTGATCTTCTGTATATAAAGATAATTAAAAATGAATCTTAATGAAGAATGGGATGGGAGAGGGAGTAGGAGATGGGATGGTTTGCAGGTGGGAGGGTGGTTATGGGGGGAAAACTGCTATAATCCAAAAGTTGTAGTTTCAAAATTTACATTTGTTAAATAATTTTTTTTCTAAAAAAATGATGTGCTGCTTGCCTTTAAATCATTGGCAAGGGTGTAAGAAAAAGAGGACCAAGAGCATGACCCTTTAATAGGAGAAGTGTATAATTTAAAGCCATCTTTTTCATTGGAATAAAGCCTAGCAACATAAAAATAATTAATTTCATTTGAGATGGGACTGTGAAGCTTTGTACAGAATTCTTGGTGGGAAGAAAATAGTCAATTCAGTTTGGTGGTAATTGTTATTTCAAGATATGATTCATTGCCATATACATTATCAATCATTCAAGCAATAACAAGATAGAAATACTAGAATTTCATTTCTAAAATGGAAACAAAATCTTGATTTAAGTCACAAAACTGATGAGCCATTTCTCAGCTATAGAAATATTTTACAAGCATTAGCATGGCAATGCATTATTAGCAAATGAGGATTTTCCTTTTTAATGGAAGAAACTGCAAAAAACTTAAAAAGTTAATCTTTTTATTATTACAGGTTTACATACTTCACAAAAGAGCACTTATACTGGATTTCTTTAAAAAGCATCCATTTGTGATGAAATGTTTGGATCACATTTCTAATTCAAGAGGTAGAAAAATTGAATGATAGGTCTAAGAGTCAAAAAGATCACATAAAGAAGACTAGTGTCTGCTAATATTAACTGATAGAATTAAGAAGGGAGAGAACGATTCAACATGGGAAGCAGGATACACAGCAGACTCATAGAAGTGCAGATGTCCTAAACAGCACTCTGGCCTCAGAATCAGCCCTTAAGGCATTTGGATCTGGCTGAAGAGCCCATGAGAGTATTTTAGGCATGGAAACCCAAGACACTCTGGCAAAAAAAAAAAAAAAAATCTCTGTGAGTGAGATCCCACTGGAAAGAATGGGCCATCAAAGAAGGAGGTACCTTTCTCTGAAGGGAGGAGAGAACTTCCACTTTGACTATGACCTTGTCTAAATAAGATCGGAGTCGTCAAACTCAAAATGCTTCCATAGCTTTGGCAACTCATGACAAAGCCTAGGGTGATTACTGATGCCATAAACAAGAGTGCCAATTTGTTAAGTCAACAACAAGAGTCACTGTGCACTTACTCCTCATGTAGAATCTCTGTCCTTAATGTGTTGTTCAATGTGAATTAATGCTATAACTAGTACTCAAACAGTACTTTACACTTTTTGTTTCTGTGTGGGTGCAAAGTGTTGAAATCTTTACTTAATATATACTAAATTGATCTTCTGTGTATAAAGAGAATTGAAAATGAATCTTGATGTGAATGGAAGGGGAGAGGGAGCAGGAGATGGAAGGGTAGTGGGTGGGAGGGAAGTTATGAGGGGGAAAAAGACATTGTAATCCTTAAGCTGTACTTTGGAAATTTATATTTATTAAATAAAAGTTAAAAAAAGAATAAACAAAAAAACCTGGATGTTGCAACAAAACATTAACAAATGCCTTGAACCACAGTCAGTGCTAATTCAGTTGGAAAATAAGCCAATGTATTCCAAACTATACCTTTAGTTATAGGGAAAGATACTCAGTTTCTAAAAGCTAACATAAATGCAGCTTTTAAGAAATTTAAAATGTGCTCATTTGGTTCCATTTATTCTATGAAGTGAAAAGTCATACACTTATTTCCTTTCTATCTGATGAAGACAATTGTGAAAATTAGCATTTATCACTCAGTCATAATCAGTATTTCACCAAATCAAAAATGATTATATCATCAATCTAAAACCCAAAGGAAAAAACACAACATATCTAACCATGTATGAGCAGTCCAGTGTGCAGTTACGTGAAAGCTGTAGCTGTGAGGTAGGAATTCTTAACTTTCTTTGTGGGACATGGTTTCCTTTGCACATTAAACCACCACGAACATTCCCAACACTGGATGACGGTACAGCAGGCCTCATGGTACTAGTGCTGGGTAAAGGTTCATTCCTATCTGTCTCCTGAAGAAATTCAGTTCTGACCACTGTTAATTCCTCATGTGCCCTGTGAAAATTGCAAGACAAATGCTTAGTATGTCATTTTTTCCACTTACTAATGGTTTATCTTTAAAAAGGCTGTAAGCATAAATGGACTGTCCCATTAAATAAAAGTATTTTAACACTAAAAATGTGTCAGGGCATACCTACTGTATGCAACCGATGTTTTCAAATTGCTCAAAATTAACAAAAACATATTTCTAGTGGGTTGTAAACAACTGGTTCACACAAAGGCAGAGGGAGAGAAATGGTTATTAATGATATATAGTTAATCAGGTAATGCTCCTTTCTGGGAGGTTCTACTTAAAATTCCTTGATGCCACTTGATAAACTCATATTTAAATGGTAGCTGTGTTAGCTAAGATACAGGATGATTTTCTTGATTATAATGACCATTTAACTATATACAAATTGTGAAAGCATCATATTGTGCATGCTGAATATTTTATAATTTTATAATTATATAAACATTTTACAATTTTTATAACAATATTTTATACTTTTTTATTAATGTAAAGAGAACAGATGTCATGTATTTCATAAGCAAAATTCTAAGGAGATAAATGTATTTCACTCCTTCCTGCTCTCCCACAAACCATCTCCTCTCTTCATTACTTTTTTACACTTTTAGCAAAAACAAAATTTTAGTTTTTCAAAAGATTCATTTTATTTATTTCAAAGAATTACAGAGAGTGGTAGAGACACAGAGAGGGAAGTCTTCCATCTGCTGGTTCATTACCCAAATAACCCCAATGGAGAGAGCTGGGCCGATCCAAAGCCAGGAGCCAGAAGCTTCCTCCATGTCTCCCACGTGGGTGTAGGGGCTCAAGGACTTGGGCCTTCCTCCGCTGCTTTCCCAGGAGCAATAGCAGGGAGCTGAATTGGAAGTGGAGCAGCTGGGACTCAAATCAGCACCCATATAGGATGCCAGCCCTGCAGCCCTGGGTTTAAGCCGCTGCACCACAGTGCTGTCCCCCACAAAAACATAACTTAATCCACTCTAGAATAACAGGCTTAATTCACCAGCAACCATAGTATTTAACAAGTAAAAAGTAGAGAGACCACAGTTCCACAGGAAGATAAAGAAAGAGTTAAAAACAACTGAATGACAAGATGTTCACTTCTTCCCTATGCCTTTTTTTTTTTGGAATTCTATATAAATTACCACATGTGAGATAAGCAGGATATTTGTCTTTTTGGGACTGGCTTATTTCACTAAGCTTAATGTTTTCCAGTCGCACCCATTTTCATTGCAAAAGAAGGGACATATTTCTGTTGAGTAAACCAGTTTAGATTTAAAACACCATCTCCCAAAGGCATTTTCAAGCACTTGCTATCAATAACCCTGTGCATTTCACACATTTAACCAAGTTCCTAGAGGGAAAAATAAGCTTTTCCCACATTGAGACATTTCAGAGCACCAAACTGTAGGAGAGAATGACAGAGTTGTTGGTTACCAAAGGAACTAAAGCCACTCCAGAGGCAATCCATTCCTAACACTGTTTGGAAGGCATCAGAGGGGGTGGGCCTTGCCCTTTCTGTCTTCTACATAGTCCCCCAGAATGCCCGAGGTAGAATGCTAACCAGCCTGCGAGTTATACTTCCCCTCCTTTCCACATTCGTCTTTCTTTCTCAAGAAGAGGAGGAAAACTGCAAAGAAGAGTTGGTTTCAAGACACCCTCCTTAAGTATTACCAATGATCACAGTCAAGGGAAGATAACTGAACAAGTGCCAGGTTGTGTCAAGACTTACAGAAGCACCACAAGTAGCAGCAGTAGCGGTAGTGGGAGTAGTAGCAGTAGGCAGCCCTGTGGGTTTAAGTTGTCATGTTCCCCCAAACACATGCACCTAACTTTTACGTACATTTTTCTGTGCTAAAAAATAAGAGCATTTATTTTTCAAAATTATTCCTTAACTTGTAGAATTATTTTGTCTAGTTAGGTTCACTTCATACTAATTTCAGGAAACTGTCTCACTAAAAACTATGCCTCAGAGTCAAATTAATGAACATCAGTTATTTTCTGTGATTCTGGGACTTGACTTACTTATTCAGGTTGCAGGTTAAGGTTTCTCCCACTTGTACGTGGAGTTGCCTGGGTTTCTCCAGTTCTTTGTCAGATTCTTCCTGAACAGCTTTCTTTCTGGTGTGTTCCGATGTCTGCAACTAAAGGAAATTTAAAATATACGTTTTCAAATCATTTCTATCTGTATATTTATTTCCTCCAATTTGACTAAGTGACACAGGGAATATTTTAAAGATATGAAAAAGAAGATTAAAATATTTAACTTCCATATCCCCTGAAGTAAACAATTATAACTAAAACTGAATCAGTTGTGTGTTGCTACTAATGTAATATCATTGTACAAGATAATTAGAATCAAATTAACAACTTAAAATTGAACACTGTACATCTTCCAAATTGCACTTTTTCCTTGGGATTGAGACAATTACATCTCATAGCATAAAACACTAGGAGCATGATGTGTACAGTTTTGGGAATGAAAATGACTTACTAATACTGTTTTATCATCTTTAGAAGCTTTTTACAAAATAGAGCGCACAGAGCAGCAACAACAAAAACTCGATAGGACTTCAATGCTACTGAGTTGGGAATAATGAATTTCTTTTAGATAAAGCCATTATCAAATTACTTTTACTAAGTGAGTAATGTTTCAGATTTATAGTAGCATGTCTGTAATACTTTGGCATTTCTTCCATGAAGTTCCCTCTCCTGAATATGAGCAGACCATAATAATCGGTTGCTAGTACTTAAGACTATATCACTGATGCTGAGTGAGTTTTGCTAGGTCAGAGAATGTGATTCAGCTTCCATTTTTATTTTTCTGGTAAAATTTATAAAGGACCCCAAGCAACAAGGCACATCATCACATAGACTTCCAAAGTTAAATGCAGTTAAATGTGCAGCCAAAAGCCCGGTTTAATGCAATTAGGTGGACAAACAAGTTTTGGATGATTGTAGCCCCAGCTTCAAATCATCCCCAGCTGAGTGACGTTTATGCCTTGCTTAAATTGTAGATTCTGAAAAAAGAATATATTGAGAGAGTAAATCATTTTTTAAATTTATTTTATCTATTTGGAAAACAGAGTTACATAGAGAGATAGAGATATATAGAGACAGGTCTTCCATCCACTAGTTCACTCTCCAGATGGCTGCAATAGCTGGAGCTGAGTCAATCTGAAGCCAGGAGCCAGGAGCTTCTTCCAGGTTTCCCACATGGATGCAGGGACCCACAGACTTGGACTGTCCTCTGCTGTTTCCCAAGGAGCATTAACAGAGAGCTGGGTTGGAAGCAGAGTAGCCCGGGCTCAAACCGGCACCCATATAGAATGCTGGTGCTGCAGTTTTGGGCTTTAACCCACTGCACCACAGTACCAGCCCCATAAGTGATCTTTTTTATGGCAGAGGGACAGAAAGTCTGTGGCAGAAGGTAGCTTCTATATCCACTAGCCAAATCTCCCAGTGCCAGGCCTGGAGAGTGGAACTCAGAACTCATTACAGTGGTCCCACGTAGGTGGCATGGAGCTGTACCTTGAAACACCTTCTGTGCCTCCCAGGGCCTGTAGTGGCAGAATGTTGGCCTCAGATGCCAAAGCCAGAAATCAAACTAAGATTCTGCTATACGAGATGTGAGCATCTTAACCTCTAGGCCAAACAACTTTCCCAAAGAGATTCTCAGGTAGGTTGCTAGACACTCATAGAAAACTGGCACAAACACCAATGCTAAAGATAGCGGTTGCTATTTTGAAAATAAAAAATGAAACAAAGACTTAAACATGTCAGATGCCTTCAGACTAGAGGGTGGTTGCAGCTTAAAGGACCTAGGGAGGAGTAAGGATGGAAACCAAAAGGACTCCAAAGAGACTGTGAGTGGAAGCCTGAGGGCCCTTGAAGACATTTACAGGGAAGACTTCAAAGAGAAAATGATTCCAAAGCCTAGAAGAAAGGGGCCTCTTGTTACACAACAGCTGACAGTAAAATTGATTTCAGAGGCAAAGCTAAAAGATGACTAACAAATATAAAGGAACTACAACTTACTGGGCTCAAGTATCTATCTGAATTACGACATCCCCACATACCAAATCTCTGCGTGATTCTACATGAGTGGTTTCTGGGAAAAAATAAAATGCAGAGTGCTACCAGGCAAATGTGGTCTAAAGATGACACAAAGACTGAGACCATCACATATTGTCAAGGCCTCATAAAATCTTAAGGTGGTGCCTCAACATCACCTTAAGGATCTTAAGAGTTACAGAATATGCAAGGGATGTTTGTCCAAAAACTTGAATATTCAAGATATTCCAGGTTTAATTAAATCATATGCTACTAATAGGATTTTTGGAAAAATTCACATTTGATTCTTACTACATATTTCATCTTCACCTGATTTCAGGATGAAATAAACAAGATCATTTCTTAACCGTGTTTAGAAGTTTCACTTTTTTTCCTTTAACATTAATGACTTAACTTTAAACAAAGTTTACCTTTTCTATAAAATACAAGTATTTACCATATTTGATTCTTGTGCGTTTTTTTTTTCTGTACTGTCCTATGTGATACACAGATAATTGTGGGGTCACATAGATGACTGTGCAACTCCCTGGCCCTAAATATGTTTTCCAAGGGTATAATTCAATGCAATATTTTTGAGACATATCCAGGATGCTTTGTTTAGTGCTTCCACTGCTTTCATCCACAGCAGCAGTAGCAATTAGTGATTAGACCTTTCTCTTGGCTCCCATAAGCCCACTTCACTTCTAAATGCAGTGACTGCTGGATTCTACTCAACCACTCTTTGTATTCCATTTCTAAGTCTGTCTCAAAAGTTCCTTAAGTCTCAGTGCTTCACCTGAAGTTGCTTAATCTATACTCCTAGGCCTCACTTCATCGCTCAGGCCATTTCTTACTTCTCTTTCATTTCTCATAGGTTAAATCTTCAACTACACCCACACAAACCGTTACCTGATGGGGATTACCTTTGCAGACAACTAGTCTAGTACATTTGCTAATGATTCTAAAGGGTGTGTCTTTGATCCTAGCATTGTTTTCTAATATTGATACTAGATATGTTAGGATGTTGACCAGCATACTTCATGTTGAAATTCTTTTCTAATGCAAGACTTTTCACAGGCATCAAATTATGGGTCACTTCCATTTTCGTTGGAATCCCCTCTGCCATAGATACAACTTTAGCAGTCTGTTGAGGTTCTCTTCAGACATAAACCTAACTATATTACTTGGAGGCCTGAGTCAGATATCTCTATTTCCCAATCCAATTCTTCTCTTCCAAGTTGTGTCCATAAAATATATCAACCCAAGTACTCTCTGGTAGATGAGAACCTCCATTTGTGAGATGAGAACCTTCTGGAAAATTAGTTGCTATTGAGTTGGTCAAATGCCATCGATTATTATACTTTTGACAGAGGGTACCCTTGAAAGTGACTAATAATTCTATGCCATATTCCTAAGTCATTGCTACAAGAATTTACAGAAAATACCTCAAGAATTATGAACAAGCTTAAGAGCCATTGCACACTGATATGAACTGAATAAAGTAAGCCTGTGTAAAGGTTGATGATCACAGTAGGGAAAAAGCTTGTTTTTATACATGCTGTCGTGGTAGCACTATGTCACTCTGCAAAGCCATGTGATAGTAGTCATTTTTTTTGTATTTCTTTTAATTTTTTAATTTTTTTTTGACAAGCAAAGTGGACAGTGAGAGAGAGACAGAGAGAAAGGTCTTCCTTTGCCACTGCTTCACCCTCCAATGGCCATCGCAGCCGGTCGCTGTGGCCGGTGCACCACGCTGATCTGATGGCAGGAGCCAGGTGCTTATCCTGGTCTCCCATGCGGGTGCAGGGCCCAAGTACTTGGGCCATCCTCCACTGCACTCCCAGGCCACAGCAGAGAGCTGGCCTGGAAGAAGGACAACCGGGACAGAATCCGGCACCCCGACGGGGACTAGAATCTGGTGTGTTGGCGCCGCAGGTGGAGGATTAGCCTACTGAGCTGGCCGCATAGTAGTCATTTTTATCTTTTCTCTTACAACTATTTCCTTTTAAAAATCCAGAGGAAGTATATTCCATGGTGAAAATAAATCTCCCACAATAATTTCGTATCCATTCTTGATTAGGAATAAAATTTACAGTATCAAAATAATTCATCCTCAAGTACTCACTGAAGAGTTAGGATTATAGTTGAAATTCAGAATCATACTGAAGTAGCACCTTGACACTAGGGACTCCATTTTGGAGCACTTGAGACTCCATTCTGGTAAAGCACCCCACCCCCCCCACCGTGAAACTCTGGTCTGAAACTATGATCTCAAATAGTCGGACAATAGCAGTGCACTACATCACCCTTGGCAGAGCACAGAAACCCCCTAGCATGATTGCTCAAGCTTGAAAGTAGAAAGGTTGCACTTGGGTTAATGATAAAGATGTGATTTGTCTATGTCTTATATATAATTAAAACTAATAATTGGGTTAATGTCAAGATCATAATTGATAATTGTTAAGATTGTAACTGGTATTGTCAAGATTATAATGGATATTAATTTCACTTAGGTCTTAGGTTATCTTGACCCCAGTAACTATGTACTCTCTTTTGATCTTAGCAACCATGTATTCCCCCTCCCGATTTTGCGGTTTTTGCCTTTATAAACCCTGTAGCTTTGGGCCTCGGGGTTGAGAGTTCTCTGGGGCATGAACCCACTCTCGGCCGCCGGCAATAAAGGACTTTAAAAACTTTTTCAGTGTGTGGCGCTCCTCTGTCAGCACTCGCTCAGGCACAACAATACACGTATCACTATTCAACATTTATGGCAGTGTAAAAGAAATTATGGATTATAGCGGCTTCCCCCCGCCCCATAATCACCCTTCCACCTGCAACCATCCCATCTCCCGCTCCCTCTCCCATCCCTGTGGTGGCTTTTCTCATTATACTATGACTCTAGATTAAGTGGACTGTCTGATTTTGGTGGATCTTTAGAGGTTTGTGATGGGTGTGGCCAGAGAGCTCTGTCAGTTCTTAAGGTTTAAGGGTGTGCCAAAGGTGGACACACCCAGGTTTGGCGTGGTAAATCTTCTCTCTCTCTCTCTCTCTTATTCAGAAGGGAAGTAATTATGCACAGCTGAGCTATTCTTGAAGGCAATCAGTGAGCACTAGCCCTTGTGGGTATAATATTCATCTGCTCTGTCCCAAGGATCACACAAAGGATCTGTGCAGTCTTCAGTGTAAGCTCAGATTCCCTTGCAATCTCCCACCGGGTTGCCAAGGTTACTGAGTTTGTGGCATCTCCCACTGAGTACTCACATCTCAGGCATTCTGTTTCCTCACACACCCTCAGTTTTTTTTTCACAGTGCCAGTTCATAAGCTCCACACATTCACTAGGTCTTAACTTCCTGTTATTTCTCCCCACCAGAGTCAAGTTTTTTGCCTGGCTGAGGGCGGGCGCAGCCCTGAGGTGGCGCAGCTTTTATGTATATCCAAAATGGCACCTGCTCTTTGACTTGCTCACCTTTGTAAGGTGAGTGGAGAGAAAGAATCGTGTCCATACCAGTCCCTTTTATTTATTTTTTTCTCTCCTCTAGTTAGCCTGGTGAACTTTCCCCCATGGGGCTTCAAGCCTCGTTCCCTCTAGGCTCTTCCTGCTGCTTTCCCGCCAATGTCTCTGGCTACTGAGGTTTCGCCTCACCTCCCTTTCCAGCGCTGTTGCCGAGACTCAGTGGCTGGGGTCCCGAACCGTGGGTGCCCGTGCCCTCCACATAGGTCCACCATGTCCCACTAGTTCCGGAAGAGTTTCCTTTGCAGTTTTTTCCCTAACTCTTCCATGAAACTACAGTATCTCCACTTTTATTAAACTATCTTTTCCCAGACTATCAGTGTGCTCCCTCCCTATTCTTATACATGCTCATAAATACTTCTTTAATGTGGATCACTATTGTAGACAGCTAATCCTCTATATTCTATGCTGATTCTTATGTGCATGTCTTTGAGGATAGTTTTATTTTCTGATTTGGGACCACTCTCAGTGTTATGAATTTGGCCAGCATAAACATTTTGCTTTTCTTTTCTACTGCAAAACTTTCAGATTATAGTCTGTCTCTGCTTTCTTTTGAATACTTCTCTCTTGCATACAGCTATGATCCTAAGGCAGTCTTCTGAAGTTCTGTCAGATGTACATTCAACTATATCAATTGGAGTCATGCAGAGCTATGAATAGTTCCCAATTCATACTTTTTACTACAAAATGGTGTCCATGAAATAATATCCTAACTCTCTGGTAGAGAATACATGAAATGAGAACATTCTGGAAAACTTTAGGGGTCACTGATTGAGTGGGTAAGAAACTTATTAAACAGTTGATTCCTGGAATAAATTTTAAAATGATAATATTTCTTTTTTTCCATGATAAATTACTAATTTTTCCAAGAATTTAGAAGAATTTTTTCATTATTTGAACAAACTCAACTTATTGGGTACTGCATCTAACTTTGAATGTTGAACTCCTTAACATATTTTTGTATGGTAATAAAGTAGACATCTCTTGGCATTCTTATCTACAAAAGACCCATTATCAACATACTGTCATGTCATCTATTTTGAACTAATTTTTATAGATCTAGAAAAAAATAATCTTTCAGTGTTTCCTAATTTGTGAACATGAGCAGTCAATATAAATGTTCTTCATCTCCAGATAACAGGATCTGTATAATTTAACTGCCATCTATTCATCGTCACTTAAGGAAACTAATTAGTAAAATCAGTGACCTCATTGCTCAGTTATCAGTGTTTACATGCAGTCTTGTGATCACAAGTTTTATGACATAAAGACATGAATGATAACCCTGTTTCTCTTGTACATAGTTATACAGTATTCATTATCCACCTATAAATTGGAATCCATGGATCATATTTCAATATTTTGTGAAACTGAACTAAGTTTTTATACAGATTGATGAACACAGACTACCAGAGAAAAGTCTGTTTCTGAACCAGCAGTGCTTAGAATGCTCTGTCACTATGTAAGACAGTGCTGGAGTAGTCATTTCTCGATATGTCCTTTTAGAAATACAAAGAGTCGAAGTAACACAGTCCTAATTCTCTGGTTAGAAAAATCATTTAATGAGAGCATTCTGGAAAACTTTAGTGGCTACTGATTGAGTGGGTAGAACCAACTCTTATTAAACATTTGATACCAAGATTTCCAACTGACAAATAATTCTATGACATATTCCTAACTAATTCCTCCAAGAATTTATAAGAAATCCTTCATCTTTAACAAACTCCATAGCTATTTGGCACTGCAACAAAGTTTTGAATGTTGAATTCCTTCTCATATTTCAGTATGACAATTAAGGTAAAGGGACATCTGGCATTCTTATCCACAAAAATCCATCAACACCCTGTCATGGACATAGTTTGAACTAATTTACTGGAAGTCTAGAGTAAAAGAATGTTTCAATGTTTCCTAATTCACGAAAATGGTCAACACAAATGTTCTTGTTCTGTAGATATAAATACCTGCATCATGCAACAGCACTCTATTGTCACTTAAAGAAACTAATTGGTAAAAGCCACAATCTCATTCTTCCATATAAGTGTTTACATGTAATCTTGTGAGAGTAATTTTTATGAAGAAGGACATGAAAGACAGGGTAATCCTGTTTTACTTGATAAATTTTTATATGGTATTCACTATCCATCAGCTGGAATCCTGGATTACACATCTATCTTTTAAGAGATTGAACTAAGTCCTTATAAAGGCTGATGAACATAGACTAACAGGTAAAAGTTTGTTTCTGAACCTGCAGTGTTCAGAGCATTATGAAACTCTGTAAGGCCATAACGCCAGAGTAGTCATTTCTAGATAACCAATGACACCTATTTGCTTTTAAGAACCCAAAGATGTAACATTCCTTGTGGTGAAAAAGCATGTATCCATTCTGGATAAGGAATACAACTTACACTCTCAAATAAATTTATTATTAAATCCCAATGAAGAGTTTAGATTTTAACCAGAGATTCAGAATTCCATACCATGTCATCACTTGACTTTATTCACACTTCAAAAGGTACCGTAAATATTACTAGGGACTCCATGTGACATTTCTACAACCATGACCATCGCAACACTACTCACAGTAGACCAAAGGTAGAAATCATGGAAATGTCCATCAAATGATCAAAGGATATAAAAGATCCACTGTAAACAAAATATTGTTTTCTAATGTAACACAATTAGAATTTTAAAATGTAATCAATCTGACTACTTAAACAATTTTATGAGTTCAGTCCATTCCTTCTATAAGGGTTAGCAGATTTGCATTGGTAGTAGCAAATAGTATCTGTATAAATACAGAAAACATACTTATCAATGAGACTTGTCTTATTAGGCAAAATATTTTCCCAATCTCCTAGCAAAGATACAGAAACACCTTCTCAGTGTGAAAGAGATTAAGAGACTGACTTACTGAACTTGGTCTTATCAGATTTTTCTGCAGCTCTTCAATACTGCCAGCATGCAGTTTGACGATATCTTTCATTTCCAAAATTTCAGACTGAAGCCTACAATGTACATGGAAAATATTTTCACCCATCAATCTAAGCATACACATAATTTCTGACTAAGCATCAGAAGGCAATATTGTGTAAATTCTTAAAATTTGAAAAGTACGGCCTGTTTCTTGTTGTCCATGGCTACTGTGCTTTATGACTCAAGCTAGTTTGCATAGTACCTTGAAATGTAGTGTTCAAGATAATCTTGTGTCTTCTTTACATTTTCTACCACTCCTTGGTGTAGATTTTCTGATACTTGGAACTGAAACAAAGGATTAAAAAAAATTACCAGCGCCTGGTACAAACTGCTCACTACCTGGTTTGCCATTAAAATTTTATTGGAAATCACAACACTTCTTCATTTGCATATTGTTCATGGCAACATTCATGCTGTAACTGCAAAGCTGACTTGCCAACAGACATCACTCGGTCCAATAACTAAAATAATATGATCTGGTCAAGAATTGTTCTTACTCATTTCGTATTTTGAAAAATTTTTGACATTTCAAAAAGGTGGCATGAAAATGAAAGTGGTCTTTTATACAAATTACACTTAACCCTTGATTTCACAATTTAAAAGCACTTGGGCCATCTTCTACTATTTTCCCAATGGGGAAGAAGGCGGCCAGACTACTTCCCCAGTACTGCATAGAACTGTCAATGATTTCATTAGCCACCAGTGTTTTTTCATCTTATAATTTACTGATCACTTACTCTCTGCACTACTTCCTGGGTAATGATAATGGAAACAGGATTCCTAGATTGAGTAGCACATACCTAGTAGACCGTAAGACACAGACTCAAAGCACAGACCTGAAAATATTGGAATCAGTGGCTAAATGAAGTTTCCAAAATCAATTCATTCTTATGCTGCCCTACAAGCACTCTGTAGATAGCCTAACAGTATACACTTGGGCCTGTTAGTGAATCTGTAGCCAGCAGAAAAAAGAGCTATAAAACAATAAATCCCAGTTCTGGCTAGTTCATGAAAGAAAATAGTTAAGTTTTTTTTTCTTACTGAGTATAGACTGAGTTTTTGATAGATAAGTTCTCCTCTACAGCAATCAAGTGTTTTGATTTTATAAAATGTTGCTTAAAGGACAACTTTAAAAAATTTAAAAGCTTCACCTTAAAGCTTTATTCATAATGCTTATGTCAATGCCTCAAAGAAGAAAATTCAGCAGGTCAGCACTGTGGCACAGTGGGCTAAGCTGCCTCTGTGATGCTGGCATTCCAGCCCTTGCTGGTCCTCTTCTGACCCAGCTCACTGCTAATTGACAGGGAAAACAGCAGAGGATGGCCCAAGTGTTTAGGTCTATGCCACCCACATAGAGACCTGCATAGAGTTCCATGCTCCTTGCTTTGACCTGGCCAGCCCCAACAAATGTGGAAAGTTGGTGATTAGAACAACAGATGGAGGAAATCTCTTTTTCTTTCAGCTTCTCCCTCTATCTGAATTTTCCTTTCAAATAAATACATATTCAAAAAGAATAAATTTCTGAAATGATATAAATTGTTTATACTTTTAGTCTAACAATTGATAAGCTAAAATATTTTCAATCTACACAAAGATAGGTGGCATCCATGTCAGATAAAATCCCTGAGGAAAATTTATATTCAGACAAGATTATTTCCCATGAATAAAAATAAAAGCAGTTTAAAAGTAAGGTCTATGCTGTTCCATAAAAACTAGATGACAAATATTGAAAAGTGTAAGGTCAAAATGTGACAGAAGGAAAAGCTTATTGACAAAAGGGAAATTTGGGGCTGGGTCTGAATAAATATCTTTAGGTGAACAGAAACAAAGACGGGACAGCATGAAGAATGGTGGAGAAATGAGAAAACAGGCCCAATTAACTCCAAGTTGGATTAAATCCAATGAAATGATTGAATGTGTCCATACAATAACTTGGAAATGAATGTCCATGGCAGCATGCAGTGGGAACATTCTACATGTCCATGCATTGATGAGCAGATAATTTGTACAGCAGACCTATACTCTGTTAGATAATAAAATGTTATTTAATACTAAAAAGAAGTACTGATAAATGTTATGCCATGGATGGATCCTGAAATTAGTATACTAAGTGAAAAAAGCCAGTCATAAAGGGCCACATACTGTAGGACTCTATGTATATGAAACGTTCATAGCAGGCAAATCTGGAGAAAAAACACTTCCCTTTTGTAGGAAAAAGGAAGAAAAAAGGACTGAAGGAGTGATGCATAAGTGACACAGAGTTTTACTTTATGGTGACTGAAATATTTAAAAACTGATTATGGTGATGGATATCCCACTTTGGGAACCTATTATGGATATTGAATTTTATTAATCTGAATGGTTGACGTCTACATAGGTGAAATATATGAGCAGTCATAAAAACATTTGTGCAAAAAGTAGGCTTAAGAGATGTCAGTTTCAAGGTAAAATGTGTGAATTCAATTCATACCTTATACATGCTGCACATATCCCCAGAAGTTTGTGAAGCACCACTATATCACAATAAATCAGTTTTTAAAACTCCAAAGGCAGGATATTAATAATTTTCTTAATTTTAAATTTTGTAAGTACAGACTACACATGATATGAATATTCCATGCATAAAGACGGACATTTATTATGTGTATAGATAACATATATTATACACACTTACAATGTGTATAAATAACATATATGTGAATGAGAAACAGGGTTTTCAATTAGACTGTAAAATATTTTAAAATGTGCATTTCAGCATAGTATAAAGTATTTTGAAAATTTATTCTGAAATACACAGGATCAATAAATATAGGTTTTGTATCCATTCACATAAGTGAAACAAGAAATGTATTTTTTGAGAATTCTGCTAAATTTTATCCTCTGATTCAATCTGCCTTGTTTTATCATGACAATTGATATCACTGAAAATATTGAGAAAAATGTGCATTTTCTGTGAAAAATGATATATATTCCTCAAGTTTTTAACAGTGAGTATTATTTTAACAAAGAATATAACAATAAATAGTGGATATCAGAGTTTAAGAAGTAAGTGCATAATGATAAAATTGTGCCAAGATTTTCATATTCAAATAAAGCAGGGTCTTATGATATTTGTATTTGGAAACTCTAAGCTCTAGAATTCTTACTGACATGCTAGATATCATACATACTTTTCTGACGATTTCATCTAACTTGTTCATTATATCCTGCATCTTGCTGTTTAACTTAAGGTAAAACTGTGCCATATCTCTCAGCGATGCCTCTGATTTACATTGCCTTTTCTCAACGTAATCCTGTTGCTGCTGCAGGTGTTTCATATCTACCTGATAAGATATGCATGTTAACATTTCATAAGTCACTTTATTGTTAAATAATGGTTATATTTCATTCAAAGATACATACAACTGGTCTGATTTTTGTGATGGCTTCACTTACAATTTTTCAACTTTAGGAAGGCAATTAAGTGATAAACATTCCCATAGGACACATACTTTGAATTCTGACCTTTTCCTGAGCTAGCAATATGCCACACTATTTTCTCTCAGGATGCTAGCCAGCAGTAGTGATTTGTAGCTCCCCGTCAACCACACAAACACAAGGACAAATGAAGAACACTCTAGAGTGTAACGTGCCACTAAGCTAGCATATTGAGGAAGTGCAGTATGTTACACACTTTATTAACTTGCATTTTCAATTTAGCAATGAGATTACCAAGGAATCACCATATCAAATGACAAGCAGCATCTGTGCTTTAGGTAATATCACCACATATATCACTTCACCTTCTTTTCCTCAATTGTACACATTTTTATTAATTGTTGAAATCAGGTAAGACACAAGGTGTTATCTCCCTGCACAATCAGTAATGTATTAGCCAACACTCAGTTCTCTATCTCTGTCCTGATAAATCTGCAACACTTAACAACCTACTGAAGTATCACAGAGCAATGCGTATCTTGTATCTAGAGCTGGTATAATTCTACAGTGTTGAACTATTTTCCTCTTTTTAGTAACATCAGAATTCCTCACACAGTTAATTCTTCGCTCAAATCCTTTGAACAGATTTCTAATTTTTTAAAAAAGTAATTTCCAATAGCTTCTTAGGCCCTATGCAAATATTGCTTCTAGCTTCCTCCTGACCTCAGCACCTACAACTCTCTCCTTTGCTCTCACAACTGTGAATCATGAACTCTGCCAGCTTTCATGTCCCTGAAAACAGGAATCCAATGCCAAATTAACAATCCACAGACAGCTACAATTATCTTTGTACTGGAGAAATTATACCCATTGATAGGAACTCATCCTTGAAATAAAAATAAAAAGCAAATTATTTGTAAAAATGTTCGAACTACATCATAAATGCCAATGACAGAATTAAATCCAATGTAGATTTGGTAAAATTCCCCAAATCAAATCAAATCTGTAGCTTGCTTTAGGCAGTATAACCATTCCTTTTCTTTTCTTTTTTTTTTTTTTTTGACAGGCAGAGTGGACAGTGATAGAGACAGAGAGAAAGGTCTTCCTTTTGCCGTTGGTTCACCCTCCAATGGCCGCCGCGGCCGGTGCGCTGCGGCCAGCGCACCGCACTGATCCGATGGCAGGAGCCAGGTGCTTCTCCTGGTCTCCCATGGGGTGCAGGGCCCAAGCACTTGGGCCATCCTCCACTGCACTCCCGGGCCACAGCAGAGAGCTGGCCTGGAAGAGGGGAAACCGGGACAGAACCCAGCGCCCTGACCGGGACTAGAACCCGGTGTGCCGGCGCCACCTGGAGTATAACCATTTCAATGATGTTAACTCTTCCATCTTTGCATTTTCTTGTGTCCCTGATAACTTCTTTCATTAGCATTCTGTAATTTTCATGTTAATCAACTATTTTGGTTAAATTTACTCCTACTATTTGAGGTTGGTTATTGTAAGTGGGATTTCTTTCTTATCTTTCAGTGAGTTCTACTACTGGCATGTAAAAAAGCTAGTTTTATGTATCTTGATTTTGGTATCTTCAACTTTACTGAGTTGTTTGATCAGTTCTAACAGCTTTCTGGTGGATTGTTTAGGTTTTCCAACGTACAAGTCATTTGGAAATATGGATATTTTGACTTATTCCTTTCTAATTATGATGTCCTTTCTTTCTCCTAATTGCTCTTGCTAATTTTTCCAACACTATATTGAATAAGAGTGAAAGTACTCAAACTTGTCTTGTTCCAGATATGATGGGAAAAGTTTTCAACTTCTCCCCATTCAGTATGATATACTGAGAGTTGATTTATCATATATAGCTTTAATATTTTTAGGTATGGTTGCATCTATAGCTAACTTACATTTTTATGTAAGGATGCTGAATCTTATCAAATGCTTTCGCTGTGATGACTAAATGGTTTTTGTTCTTCATTCTGTTGATATTATTTGTTTATTGACTTATGAATGCTGAACCACTCTTTCATTTCTAGGAAAAATTCCACTTGATTGTGACATACAATCTTTTTGATGAGTGTTGGATTCACTTTGCTAGCATGTTGTCGAGAATTTTTGCATTTATATTCATCAAGGATAATAGGTCTGTAGTAGTCTTTTCATGTTGTGTCTCTGTTCAGTTTTGGAATCAGTATGATGCTGATCTCAAAAAGGGTTTGGCAACTACATCCTGTTCAATATTTTGGAATAGTTTGAAAAGTATTGGAGTTAGTCTCACTTTAAATGTATTGCAGAATTCAATAGTAAATCTATCAGGTTTTGAACTTTTCCTTGATAGCAGACTTTTGATTAATCTTTCAATTTCATTGCTTCTTATGGATCTCTTTAGGCTTTCTGTATCTGGAAATTAACCCATTTCTTTGAGGTTTTCCAACTTGTTAGCATACAGTTGCTCATAGAGGGAGAGATCTTCCATCTGCTGCTTCACTCCAAAAATGGTTCCCCAAAGTCAACCCAGGACCAGGTGGAGGCCAGGAGCCAGGAACTCTACCCAAGTCTCACATATGGGTGACAGTGGCCCATTAAACTGGGCCACCTTCCACTGCTTTCCCAAGTGCGTTAGCAAGAACCTGGATTGGAAGTAGAGCAGTTAGGATTGATACTGCTATTCATGGGGTGCCAACATTGCAGGCCACACATTAACTTGCTGTGTCACAACACCAGCCCCAAAGCAGTTTCTTATAAGCCTTTGTATTTCAATAGTATCAGCTTTAACATCTACTTTTTCACCTCTAATGTTATTTACTTGAGTTTTTTTTTTTTTTTTGTAATTTTGGTAGTTTGGCTAAAGATTTATCTACTCAAAAAACATACCTTTTTGTTCTGTTAATAGTTAATATTGTTTTTTGCTTCAACTTCATTTATTTCTGCTCTGATTCTTATTTATTGCCTCCTGCTAATGTCTGGTTTGTTCTTGATATTCTAAATCTTTAAGATGCATACTTAGAACACATTTTGAGACCTTTTAAAAAAATATGGACATTTAATGCTATAGATTTCCCTCCTAACACTGCTTTTCCCTTGTGCAAATGGAAGGGGGCAATGTGCCTTCCCTTTTCAGAGCAACTTAGTCACTCAGATCCCAGTCAGATCCCTGGACTGGACTTGAAGTCAGTGGAGACTGTGAAATTCTCCCATGGCTAGGGCTGCTCACAGTGGGAGCCACAGCATCTTCTTCCTATCTTATCCCAGCAAGACAGTGTTTCCCAACCAGAAGTCAGTCACACAGATGCAAGGGATGTCCGGTGGCAGTCACTGATGACAGTGGTGTATCTGTTCTCTCCCCTAACTGCCTCAAGGAGTCTGTGTTCTGCCACTTCTCCACAGGAATTTCATTGCCCTGAGAATGACAGGCTCCTTTGTTCCAGTTACTGTGACTGTTACTGTGACCGACATTAGTGAGGCTACTCATTACTCAGTCATCTTGGATACACACTTGATTTTCTTTTTTAATGCAAAGCTTTCACAAAGTCAAGTCATGGATTTCTCCACTTTCTTTTGAATGATTTCCTCTTCCACAGATACGACCTTCTGAGCTTCTGAGTCTCCTGAAGCTCCGTTCAGATGTACACTCAAGTAGGTCAATTGGAGTCAACCAGACTCTGCCTCTATCCCAGTTCAGATCCACTGCTCCAAAGCTGTGTCAATGAAATATCTCAACTTGGGTATTCTCTGGTAGAGGGACTCATGGGATGAGAACTTTCTGGAAAACTTACATTCCAATGAGTTGGATGAAAACTGTTTCTTATTAAACTTTTGATTTATAGGGTAGATTTCAAAATAACTAATAATTCAATGACATTTTCTAACATTTATACAGGAATGTACAGGAAACCTCTCCTTACTTTGAAGCAGCTCAACAGCTATTAGGTACTACAACCAATTTTTGAATGTCTAATTGCTTAACATATTTCTGTACAATTTTATAAAGGGATGCCTTGTGGCATTTTAAAAAGTCCCATAGGAAGTGGCACTGTGGCAGAGAAGGTTAAGCCTCCATCTGCAGTACTGACATCCCATATAGGTGCTGGTTCAGGACCAAGGGGCTTCAATTCCAATCCAGCTTCCTGCTAATGCACCTAGGAAAGCAGCAGAAGATGGATAAAGTACTTGGACCCCTACATCCACATGGGAGATATAGAAGCAGCTCCTGGTTCCTGGGTTTGGCCTGGCCCAACCCTGGCCATTGTACCCATTTGGGAAGTAAACCAGTGGATGGAAGAGTTCTCTCTCTCTCTCTCTCTCTCTCTCTCTCTCTCTCCCTCCCTCCCTCCCTCCCTCCTTCTCTTTCTCTATTTCTGATTTTCAAATAAATAAAATCTTAAAAAAGAAAAAGTTCCCTTACCAATATGCTTTCATTTCACATGTATAGAACTGAGTTCTTACAGGTCTAGAGAAAAACAATCCTTCAATTTTCCTAAGACATCCGAGAGATCAAACACCACAAATGTTCTAAACCAAACAAGCATGTGAATCTGTATAATGCAACTGCACTCTAGCTATTGTGCCTGAAGACAATTAATTAGTAGAAACAACTACTTCATTGTTCCATATTAGTGCTTCATACAATCTTGTGACCTTATACCCTACTAAAGGAAAACATGAAGGATAAGGGAATACTGTTTTTGTTATAAATAGTTGTAAAGCATTGACTATTCATCAATAAATTAGGATCCTAGACTACACAGCCATCTTTTCTGAGACTGACCTAAGTCAAAATAAAGGCTGATATAGATTAATGGGGAAAAAGTTGATTTCTTAATCTGCAGTGCTCAGGGCATTAGGTAACTTTACAAGGCCCTGCAGGAATAGTCATTGCTATGTATCCCATGATATTTCTTTCATTTTAAAATACAAAGAGAAAAACATATTTCTTGGGGTTAAAAAGTCCACTCAAAGGCCTAGTATCCATTCTTGTTAAGAAATACAGTTTATGAGGTTAATGTTGTCACATAGTGGGTTAAGCTGATGCCTACACTGCTGGATCCCTTATGGGTACCAGTTTGAGTCCCATCCACCCCTCTTATGATCCAGATCCCTGATAAGGCTTCTGAGAAAGCAGAGGAGGATGGCATGAGAGCTTGGGCACGTACACCCATGTGGGAGACCTGGATAAAGCTCCTGGTTCTTGGTTAGAGGCTTCAGCCTGGTCCAGCCCTAGTTGTTGTATTCTTTTGGGGAGTGAATCAACAGATGAAGCTTGCTTGCTCGCTCGCTCGCTCGCTCTCTCTCCCCCTCTCACTCTGTGTGTGTGTGTGTGTATCTCTGCCTTTCAAATAAATCTTTTAATAAAAGAAATATAACTTGGGGCTGCGCTGTGGCACAGCAGGTTAACACCCTGGCGTGAAGCACTGGCATTCCATATGGGTGCTGGTTCAAGACCCGGCTGCTCCTCTTCTGATCCAGCTCTCTGCTATGTCCTGGGAAAGCAGCAGAAGATGGACCAAGTCCTTGGGCCCTTGCACCTGTGTGGAAGACCCAAAAGAAGCTCCTGGCTCCTGGCTTCAGATTGGCGCAGCTCCAGCCTTTGCGGCCATCTGGGGAGTGAACCACCGGATGGAAGACCTCTCACTCTGCCTCTCCTCTCTCAGTGTAACTCTGACTTGCAAATAAATAAATAAATCTTTAAAAAAAGGAAATATAACTTACAACATCACAATAATTTAGTCTTAAAATCTCACTGCTTTAGATTATGAAATATTCAGAATTCTAGATTGCATCGCTGCTGTCATTTCTTGGCATGCCAAAATATATTAACAATTAGCAGGGACTCCAAGAGATAGTTATTATCAATTCCCATAGTAGCCTTATACATAGTAGACAAAAGGTGAATGATTGACTTACTGAAATTAGTCTGAAAAGGATTTCCTGAAGATTTTTAATTTCCCTTGCTTGCTTTAGTATTGTATCTTTCAACTCACGATTTTCCTGATCATGCCTAAAATACATATTTTAAATTAATGATTCTCACAGATCAATTTAAGAAAATATATTTTAGAATAAATATCTGAAAGTGTTATTATGCAAATTCTAGAAATTTGAAGTCAATTTCTTGGCAAATATATCATTATTCTATGTTGCTTTGTCAATAATGCACAAAATTTAGGGATAATGTGCAAAAGCTATGCATTTCAGAATAGTTTAATGCTAAAAGTTTTCCATGCTTTACTCAGATGTATTTATGTTTAAAATGATATAATTCTCATAGTACATAGCATATATGCTTTAGAAAGACTCGAGTTATTTTGAATGGTTGTTTGAATTATACTTTTCCAGATGATCCTGAATTTTCTCAGTGTTTTGTACCACCGCCTTTTGTTCATCTTCTGATTCTTGGAACTACAACAAAGAATAAAAAAAAAAAAACATGAGATTTACCAGTATCTGGTATGAATCTGGGAAGTACCTGGATTTATGACTAAAATTTCATTAGAACATAGCAATGACTCTTCCTTTTCATCTTATTCATGACTACATTTATGCTATAACTTCAAAGTTGAGTTGTGCCAACAGGGATGCTATGACCTCAAATCTAAAACAGAACTGTCTGGGCCATTACAGAAAGTTTATAGTCTTCTGCTCAAGAAAATGACACAGGAGTAGACTTGGTTTTGATTATGTTCTATCAGAAAAATTCTCAGATTTACAATATTGGCCAGTTAAAGGAATGGAAGATTACCTTATGGAAAATAGCTATAATTTTGAAATCCAAGTACTATGAAATCAACTATAATTTTAAATATTCATATGTGCAAATGACCATTGGTATCCCAGAGATCATAAAAATTAACATGATGTTATAGACAACAAATGTTCAATGGAATTTTTCAGTGGCCACACCAACAATGAAGCCAGAGTGCCTGGATTCTGGCTCCACTATCTGTGTGACCTTCAGCAAATTCATTTGCCCTGTGTTAGTTCTTCACCTGTACAATGGAAATAATAGTGTCTACTTCACTTGAAAGTGGGAGGTATTAAATTAAAGGTATATGTAAAGAACTTCAAAGAAGATGTGTCACATAGTCAGGGAAATATTTCAATAGCATTATTATTATTGAATTCATGTTTGAATAAAATGACATATTTGGGAAGGGGAGCGTAGCAATAGAAGTGATCTCTTATAAAGTGGTACTGAATCCTTCATACCAAAGTGGCAGCAAACTGGGAGCATGAGGCCTAGAATACATTGCCAGCTCATTATAAAGCTTTCATTAATTTTATTAGCCACCCATCCTTTATGCAACTTATAATTTAAAAATTACTTTTTTCTGTAAACTCAGTGGGCAATAATAATGAAATACAATATAAACAGGACTCCGAATTCGAGTAGCACATATCTTACATGGCCATAAAAATTGGCCTAAATGTACTAATGAAAAGACCAGACTCTATAGCTAAATCAAATTTCCAAAATCACTCTTCATTCTCAGGTTGCTCTAGCAAGCAATCTGAGGATAGAGTGGTGCTCCATGGTTTGGTGTGTAAGAAAATGTATGACTTTTCCACTGGTAAAGAGCTGTAAAGCTACGAGTCCCAGCTCTGGCTATATAATAAAGGGAAGCAAACTTCAGATTTTATATTCTCCCAGTGAGTAGAGCATTAGCATTTTATAGAACAATTCTCCAGAAACAGGATTAAGTATTTGAATATTGTACTTAATTGCCTAAAATGTGTTTAGAAGAAAAGCTTCATTCATTCATTCATTCATTCACTCATAATGTTCCTGTCAGTGTCTCAAGAAACACAGATGGAATGGCACAAAGTACTTAATTTTAACTTAACTGTCCAACTGTAACATTTTCAATCTACACATTTATATCACATATGTCCACTTAGGCAAATTTACAGCACAACTGTCACCGTAGACAAATTATCTATTATGCAGATAAGTAAAAGCAATATAAACTTAAAGGCCACATTATTCTCCATAAACTAGATGACAAGTACTGAAAAGAGAAAAATCAATGAGAACACAGAACATCCCATCAGTGAAAGGACCTTTGGAGTAGGGTCTGAATACAATGAGTACAGATCAACAGAAACTAAAACAGCAGTGTGAAAAAGGAGGAAGGGGGGGAAACTGGCCAGAGACATTCACTTTACTGGCGTCCACAGGCAGAGAAGTAAAAAGCATATTCCATACATTAACTTGGAAATGAATGTTCATAGCAATAGCGTTAATAATAGTCAAAAAATGGAAACAGTGTTCTATCAACTGATGAAATGTTTATCAACTGATGAATGAATAATTCCTACAAAGAACTGTATTCTGCACAGTACAATATTATTTGAAAAATAATAAGAAGTATTGATAGATTCTATACCATGAAGAGATACTAGGGAAGAGATAGGAGCTAAAGGCAGGATGGGTGAATTATAGAAGGTTTTCTCTCAGGATGTTAAAAGCTGTTCTAAAATTGATTGTGGTGCTGGTTATCCAACTCTGGGAATATACTAAGGACACAGAGCTACACTTATTTGGATAGGTGAGCTCTATGGTGTTACATGAACTATACAGATAAGAGTGTTCAAAACAGCATTTTTAAAAGTTTGTGGAAGGTCCGGCACTGTGGCGCAGTGGGTTAATGCCCTGGCCTGAAGTGCTGGTATCCCATATGGGCGCCGGTTCCAGACCCGGCTGCTCCACTTCCTGTGCAGCTCTCTGCTGTGGCCTGGGAAAGCAGTAGAGGATGGCCCAAGTCCTTGGGTCCCTGCACCCATGTGGGAGACTTGGAGGAAGTTCATAGCTCCTGGCTTCAGATCAATGCAGCTCCAGCCGTTGCAGCCAATTGGGGAGTGAACCACCGGATAGACTACCTCTCTCTCTCTCTCTGCCCCCCTCTCCCTCTCCCTCTCTCTCTCTCTCTCTCTCTCTCTCTCTCTCTCTCTCTCTCTCTTTCATCTCCTCTCTCTGTGTAACTCTGACTTTCAAGTAAAATACAATAAATCTTTAAGAGTTTGTGGGGGCCGGTGCCGCGGCTCACTAGGCTAATCCTCCACCTAGCGGCCCGGCACACCGGGTTCTAGTCCCAGTTGGGGTGCCGGATTCTGCCCCGGTTGCCCCTCTTCCAGGCCAGCTCTCTGCTGTGGCCAGGGAGTGCAGTGGAGGATGGCCCAAGTGCTTGGGCCCTGCACCCCATGGGAGACCAGGAAAAGCACCTGGCTCCTGGCTCCTGCCATCGGATCAGTGCGGTGCGCCAGCCGCAGTGCGCTGGCCGCGGCGGCCATTGGAGGGTGAACCAACGGCAAAGGAAGACCTTTCTCTCTCTGTCTCTCTCTCTGTCTACTCTGCCTGTCAAAAAAAAAAAAGAGTTTGTGGGAAATGATCTTAAAGATAAGTCAATTTTGGTGCAAAAAGTTTTGAAGTTGAATGGCAATATGTAGATGATAAAGTCTCTCAACTTTTAGGAGGACTAGTGCAAAATCTGCAACATTCTCAAATATAAATACTATCTTTAGAAAGAATTTAAGTGTAAGAAAAATGGCAGAATAAGATGGTGTAAGAAGTTATCATATTGACAAAATTGTCTTAATTATAATAAAATATTTTTTTTAAAAATTACGTTCACTGTGATTTTTATTCTAGTGCACATTCTTTAACCAGTATAGAATTCACTGACATGCTAATTTTCATATATACTTGTCTTTGGGTTTTCCTTAATATCTTCTTTATATACTTTATTTCATCTGCTGACTTAAAGCAGTAACTTCTTACAGCCTCCTGTCACTACTCTGATACAGGATGTGCTTTTTGTTATCAGCCCATTGATGAAGGTGGTTCACCACTTCTTGAGAACACATTTATATTACTATTTTATAAATCATTTTATGATCAAATTGTCTTAATATTTACTTCTAAGTTACATACAAATGGTCACAAACAGACTTGTGATTGTTTCTCTTCAATTTTTCAGACTCATGATGGCATAAAAGTGATACATATTCCATAGACAACATACTTCATAACTGAAGCTAGTAATTTCTACAGTGTTGAACAATTTCCCTCATTTGCATTATAGACCAAAATAAAATCAGAGATTCTCTCACTTTCAATCCTCTACTTAAATCCTTCCAAGAGATTCCTATCTCAGAACAGCACTAAAATTTCAATGACATTCAAGGCCTAGCTGGCCTCATCTCCACCTTCTTTCCTGATCTCAGCTCCTATAACCCTCTTGCCTATTCTCCCCACAACTGCTTTTCATGAAATTGGCTAGCTCTCATGAAACTGAAAATGGGAATCTATTGTAACCACAGACAGTTACAATTATATTTGTGGTGGACCCTGAAATGAAAATAATAACCAAATTCTTTGCTAAAATGCTTAAATTAAGAAAATCATAAATACCTGAGAGAAAATTGATTCAAATATAATTGGTAAAATTCACCATATTTGTACCAAATCTGAACTTAATATAAAGGAGCTGCTGTTAAAGAATTAAGTCATAAGAATACATAAATTGAGAGTGAAATAGTTTTACATTTAAATAGAACTGGCATGAATTCAAATAGTACCAACTAGAATACAGAAAAATCTACAGAGGAAAAGTATTATGAGATATCTTATCACTCATCATCAAATTCTAAAATGAACTTTCAAGGTAATCCACTTAATAGAACATCAATTTCAAAATACTCCCTTTAAGCATGAATAATTCCCTTGACTTCATCATGGTCTTAAAATCTGTAATTAGTATAGACAAATATTTTTTGGAGATGACTCTAAGAGCAACAAGGAAAGTAGACAAATTGGGTTATATCAAATACAGAAACATCTACACAACCAAGGAGGCAATCAATCAACAGAATGAAAAACATCCTACAGAATGGAAGAAAATATTTGGAAGCTACTTACCCAACCAAAGATTAATATCCATAATATAAAAAATTCAATAACAAGAACAGCAACAAAACAATCCAGTTAAAAGATGAGTGAAGTAACTGAATGCAGCTCTTCAAGGAAGAAATACAAATAGTCAATAAATAATATCACCAGCCATCAGAGAATTGAAAATCAAAGCTACAATGAACATCACACCTGTTAGAATGGCTAATATCAAAAATGCAGAAGGTGGAGGGAGCCAAGATGGCGGAATAGTGAGGGTGCGCACCGATAGTCCGGGAAAATTTAGTTTAATAAAAGGGGAGTTACAGTAGCCCCAGAAAAAAGAACCAGGAAAATATTGCAGAGGAAACCCTTCTGGATTGAGTGGTCGTGAATCGGAGGACCTACTGGGAGAACAAGGTCGCCCACTGCGCGGAAGCCGAGCCGCGGGACCGAGCTGCGGAAGCCGCAGGCTCTACGCGCCAGTGCTCAAAGTGTGCGTGCCACACAGACA